ATTTCAAGTGCTCCAAGAGAAGATACTGAACCATTTAGGCAAATTTTAATAGAATGTATAAATAACAAAATGCTATTACAATCTCAGATTTAGTGTGACAAAACTGGTTTGTTCTGGCATTCTGTGCCTGAAAACACACAAGCCTCCAAATATGAAAAATGGACATCTGGAAGAAAAATCAGCAAGGATAGGATCTAGGCACTGCTTTGTGCCAATACAGATGGAGAGCATAAACTGATACCTGCCTGGCCAATGCGGCTCAGTGGTTAAGCATTGACCTATGAACCAGGAGGTCAGGGTTCGATTCCCAGTCAGGGCACATGCCCAGTTTCGTGCTCAATCTCCAGTAGGGGGAATACAGGAGGCAGCTGATCAGTGATTCTCTTTCATCATTCTCTCCTATTCCCTTACTTTCTGAAATCAATAAAAGTATATTTAAAAATAAATAAACTGACACCTGTAATATTGGTGGAGAAGAGAAGTAGTTAAGGAAGATGTTGTACAGTGGTTAGAAGATGAAGGTGACCCTGGGTATCACGCTATGACTGAAAGTGAAGAAGCAGATGAGGTGATGACCTTGGAAGATGAGGATGGGAGTGAAGATGAGGAGGAAAAAGAAATAACACACCCAAAAATAACGTTATCAGAGATTGTACCTCAATGTTCTAATAACATTTATTAACAATTCATCAGATAACAAAATTCAGCTTTATTATACCCATTTTCATAATTGTGGGGAGTTAATTATAAAAAAACACCAGACTTCAAAAGTTCAAACAAAACTTGATAGTTTTTCAAAGCAGGATTGCCTAAAGCAAGTGCCTCAATAGTGAACATTTCATGCCACAGTGGGAGTGTCTGGATATATCATCATCTGGAGACAATAATAGAAACATTTTTTGTTTTTATAAATTTTTTTAATATATTTTATTGATTTCTTACAGAGAGGAAGGGAGAGGGATAGAGAGTTAGAAACATCGATCAGCTGCCTCCTGCACACTCCCTATTGGGGATGTGCCCACAACCAAGGTACATGCCCTTGACCAGAATCAAACCTGGGACCCTTGAGTCCACAGGCCGACGCTCTATCCATTGAGCCAAACCGGTCAGGCAGTTTTTATAAAATTTTATTTGTTTAGTTAAATACTAGAGGCCCGGTGCACGGATTCATGCACATTGAAAGGCAATTAACTAGAAGGTGGCCAGCGGGGCGGGACTGGGTGAGATGGGCCGGACATGCCCTGGAGCCAACCTCCCCCAGTCCCTCCCTGGCTGGCTGCACCTGGGGCATCTGCAGAGTGAGGTGGTGTCCCTCGGCCTGGCCTGCAGGGATCAGGCCGAAACCGGCAGTCCACCATCCCAGAGTGCAAGAGGGCACTCTGCAAAGTTGCTGTCACTCGGCAGCTCCTGTGTTGAGTGTCTGCTCCCTGGTGGTTAGTGCACGTCATAGCTACCGGTCAACATTCGAATGGTCAGACAGTTTCTTAGGCATATATATTGAGTGGCCATATTATTATGACCACCTGATATTTGTAGGCAAATTAGCCATACACTGCATCATATGGGATATGGAAGCCCAAGGCCTGTTCGAACACCTTTGCTGTCTGCAGTTACCAAGATAAAACGTCTCCAATATGCACAGGAACACAAGGATTGGACAGTCGAGCATTGGACAAAAGTCATGTGGTCCAATGAATCACATTTCCAGTTGCATCATGCAGATGGCAGAGTGAGAATTTGGCAGAAACAGCATGAAAGCATGCATCCCACATGCATGAGTACAACCCTTCAGGCTGGTGGGGGCAGTGTTATGGTTTGGGGCATGTTTTCCTGGCATGATTTGGGCCCTTTAATTCATGTGGAACAACTTCTGAATAGCACAACATACCTAAGTATCTTTGCTGATCAGGTTCATCCTATCATGTTGATGGCATATCCCAATGGAGATGGCTTCTTCCAACAAGACAGTGCACCATGCCACGGTGCTCGTATTGTGCAGGAATGGTTTCAAGAACATGAGGGAGACTTTACTTTGCTTAGGTGGCCCCCACAATCACCAGATCTCAATCCAATTGAGCATTTGTGGGACGAAGTTAAAAGAGCCATCAGGCAGCTGGTTCCACAACCATCAAATCTCACAGAACTGGACAGTGCTTTTCATCAGGCCTGGTGTCAAATTCCTCACATCACCTTTCAACATCTTGTGGAGTCAATGCCAAGAAGAATCGCCGCAGTATTGAAGGCAAAAGGTGGCCCAACGAAGTACTGATGGGGTGGTCATAATAATCTGGCCACTCAGTGTGTGTGTGTGTGTGTGTGTGTGTGTGTGTGTGTGTGTGTATAATTAAAATGTATTTTTGGAAAAATGTTTAGTTCTATTTAGATTGCTTGTTTATTACAGTCTCAAAATTATGGTGAGTACATAAGCACTAACACATATAGAACACTTTTCTGTGAAATTAAACTTTTCGTATATACTTAATTTAATTGCACAAACGTGTCCACATAAGTAAAAACAGGTAAAATAATTTGTCATTTTTTAAACATATGCATTCGAAAAATTTACTTTATTATATAATGGACTTCAGCTTTAACGGATACCTCCTTGCCCAAATTAGTTATATAGAGGTTTTACTGTATATACATTCTAAATATATTTTATTGATTTTTCACAGAGAGGAAGGGAGAGGGACAGAGAGTTAGAAACATCGATGAGAGAGAACCATCGATCAGCTGCCTCCTGCACACTCCCCACTGGGGACGCGCCTGCAACCAAGGTACATGCCCCAGACCGGAATCCAACCTGGGACCCTTCAGTCCGCAGGCCGACGCTCTATCCACTGAGCCAAACCAGTCAGGGCATATTCTAAATATTTAAAAATGGCAAGTAACCTTGTGTGAAATAACTTAGTTCTACTAATTTGCCCAAATTAAACGCACGTGCAAAAACTCAAATAAGGTCTTAACCCCAAACTTCCCTAAATATGCTTAATTTGACCCACTGCAATATAACCTAATTTGTAGCACTATAGAGCCTTGGAATCCACATATTAAGAAAATCGCCCACTAGGGGGAGACATCATTCCTCTCCTAGAGGCCACCCTGTGCCAGGGCTGCAGGTAGCCTGACCTTGGTCCCCGGCGGCTGCTCTCCCTTCGCGGGGGCTCGGAGGTTACCCACCCGGACACCCAGCCCGCAGCAATGGCCTTCTGGACTCACAGCGCCCTGCTGATTGCTCCCAGCGCCTCTGCGGGACTGAGTGCAGGGGAGAGGGGTGGACCAGACCAGACGCCTGGGAGGCCGAAGCTTCGGCCCTCGCACGCTGGCTTAGCTGTACATCAATATCCGGGATGGCGGCTCGTTTCATCACCTCCCGCGACCCACCCTCTTCCCTGGGGCTTGAGGTGCCCATCCAGCCCCTGCCCCGCCGCAGCGCTAGGCCAGCCCTTGCAGGGCGTGGCCCGACCTGCCCCTGCAGCCCTCTGACCCAGGCAGCTCAGGAGGAGTGGTGGGGCGGTCGTGCCGGGCGGGGCTGGCGCGGGTAGGCTGGGCCTTGGAGCTGCGCAAGCTTCTTGTGCGCTCACTCTCAGGGCAGTTCAGAATTTGTTATAGTTATTTCCAGTCTAGTGTATTGACATGTTTTTAACTTAGATCATTCCCTATGTAAAAGAATGGAGCCTCCTTGACCTGGTCGGGAGAGTCCGGGTTGGAGCCTCGTTCAAAACACGGAAAAGTTGTGGGTTCGAGCCCAGGGCGAGGATGGGAGGCAGCTAATGGATGTTTCTCTCCCATCAGTGTTTTTCTCCCCCTCCCCCCAATCAATAAACATATCCTCAGATGAGATACAAGTAAAATAATGTAGCCTTCTTTACTCATTATATGGTAAGCATTTCCCCAAGTCATTAAACATGTTTCCAGCTTTATTGACGTATAATTGACAAAACAGTATTTTTAAAAATGTACAACAGGATAGTTTGATATTCATATATATTGTGAAATAATTACAAGTTCCACTGAACGTTTTTAAACGTTATTTTAATGACTACATAATAAATCAGTGCATGGCTGATGTATCATAAATTACTCAGTGGTTTCCTTGTGGGTGAATAGGTTGTTCCCATAGTACAGGAGGACATGAGAGCAAGGCTTTATTTAGCAGTGGCTAGGAGCAGGACCTAGGGTCAGAATTAACTCGAAGCTTGAGTCCCGCCGAGTTTTGCAAAACGGGGTTTTTATTATAATTGCAAACAAATGGGTGGAAGCAACAAGGTTTGGAGCTGAAGGATTCAAAGACTGGTAGGGCATAAATTGTTTTCCACTGCGAAGCTGATGGGTCTTTGGGGGAAGTTCCATAATGACCAATCAAGTCTTGTGCTTGGCTGGGGGCTCCCGGGACAATCACGCAATCCGAGGGAAGGATGTCCGCAACCGAGCAGGCGCCCGCCCAAGCGAGGGGAGCTTTGTTCGCTGTCCGCCAGCCCGAGGACTGCCGCAGGGCGCCTGCCCCTTCCCAGTACCTGGTTGGAGGACCGTGGCCCTCATCTCTGATCCCCCTTCTCAGAGGCGAAGCCAGGCCTGGCCACGTGCAGCACGCAGGCTGCCGGTACCGTGGGCCAGCAGCTGGGTCGGACTTAAATAGAACAACGCGCCCCCGCTCCTCACGTGACCTCCGGGGCTGCCAGCACCGCCCTCGAGTCACAGTCGCATCGCCGCCGTTGCTGCCTTCTGCGCAGGCGCAGATCTTGGCCTCGGGCCAGTGACGCAATCGTGCCCCGCTCGCAGGATGCCGGACCCCAGTATACGTCGGACTACGTAACTCTGGCCGGTCGGCCTTCGCAGGAGGACGTGGGCGCGTAGGTCCCGCCGCAGCCCCGCGAGGGGCCGGGCCAGGGAGGGGAAGGGGCGGGACCGGAGGCGGCCAATCGGCGGCGCCCGAGCCGGTGCCGCGCCGCGCCCCGCCCAGCAGGCGGGCCTGCCCCGCGGGCCTGGAAGAGCGGACGCGCGGCGGTGGCGGCGGCGGCAGGGAGGTGAGTAGTTGCCCCACCCGCCCGCCAGTCTCCTTCCAGCCGCTGTCTCCCGGTTGTCCGCGCGGGCCCATCCCGAAGGAGCGGCGGCCCGCAGGGTTGCAGGAGCCGGGCGGCGGGCGCGGCCGGGCGACGGGAACAGGCCCGATCGCGCGGGCCCGGTGTCTACGTGCGGCGCAGCAGGCACCGGGTCCGGCCGCCGCTGGGGCCGGGTGTCCTTGGGAATGTGGGGGTTGGAGGGGCCGAGGGGCAGCCGTGCGCCGGCAGCGAGCTCGCTGGGGAGGGTCCGGGGTGGGCGCTGTCGGGTGCGGTGCCCACTCGGGCTCGGCCCGGCTGGAAAGCCGCGGACCTCAGAGAGCGGCCGAGGTAGGCGATGCCCGGGGACGGAGGTGCTGCCAGGGTGCCGGCCACTTACACTGGGAGGTGCCGCTGCCCCTCAAGCCGAAACATCTTTGTTGCGTGATCCCTGCTTCCCATTCCCTGCGCGGGCAAACTGGGAAATGGTGCTCAGAAACTACTTTGACTTGGAAGTCAGCATCAGGCCGCCCTGTGAGTTCGCACATCTGCTCAGGGGTCGGGCCCACACGAGTTTGGGGAAAGCGGGGGCTGCTGGTGCGTCTGGGCAGGAGGCTGCGAGAGCCGTCCTCTGCGGTTTCGCCCGGCGTTGGGGCTGACCGCCCAGTCCGCGTGTTGGTGTTCCGCCCCCCACGTCCCCCTCCTACAGCCTTGATTAGGGGTGATCGGTTTTCTCAGCTTACTGTGCAGTCTCCCTCAGGTGACTGCTCAGCTCCCGCACATGTCCTTTTCACAGCTAAACCTCAGACGCAGCCGTTTTTCGTGTTGGGGGGGGGGGCAGGTATCACTGATGGGACTGGGGAAGTGAGGCTGGTTTTCAGGGGAGACGAGGAAAGTTCTGCTGCAGACACATGGAGTCTGAGGGGACACCTAAGACCTGGCTGAAGAAGGTTAGAAGGAAGGCGGGTGGGTGGAGATGTAGGAACCAAAGGGACTTGGAAGAGGAGGGAGATTCAAGAGTAGAAGGTGGGGGCGGACCCGAAGGAGAAAACATTCAGGGAGTCTTAGGTGAGAGGAGGACCGGCCAAGCAGAAAGAACCACCCAAGGTGGTGTGGGGTACCAAGGAGAGCAAGGAGAGGAGCCCTGGGGAAGGGGTGTGCCCACGCGGTGGACAGACGCAGGGAGTGAGAGCAGCTCTTTGCATTTGGCAAGGCTGAGGTGGGGGGTGTGCTGAGCAGGCTCACTGTCCAGACTCCCGCCAGGCTCAGGCGTCAAGTCCCAGCCCCACCACTTCCCGGTGCCTTGTTAGTTCCTTCCTCGTCTGTGAAATAGGGATGATAGCGCCGGGGCCTGCTGCATGGGAAGCAGGTAACTAGCTAACGAGTCTCCGGCGTAAGCATTTGACATGTTTGTACTCCCCGAAGCCTCGCAACAGCCCGCCAGCCTCTACAGAGGACAGAACTAAGGTCAGAGAAGTTACCTGCTCAAGGTGAAAGCTGTGGCACTTGCCTTACTTCAGTAGAATAATGGTAATTCAAATTGCCTGGATTTTAGGGGTGTTGGAAATGGTCATGGATTGTGGACTGCATTTCCATGAAGTTTTCCCATGAAAGTAGTTTTTTTTATTTTATTATTATTTGGTTGTCTTCAAAGGCAGACATGATTCTCTTCTCAGGTTCGTTCCCAGATAGTGAGGGCATGTGTTTTGTTTGGTTTGGTTTCCTGATCAAAGAACTGGACATAAATTGTTGCCATAAATTGTTAGTTTCGGGTCTCTATACGCAAATTAGAAAATGAACTAGAAAATTTACTGCATTTCATTAATTATAGTTTTAAGCATTCATGTTTATCCTTGGGGAAACCTTAGCAATATGCTATTTTTTTCATGCAAATATTATCTTATGAAGGTACTCCAGGACTTCGGAAAACTGCTAAAGTGAAGTGTGATTTCAAACTTTACATGAGAAAAGTTAGGTTTAGGTTGTGAATAAGTTTGTATCATCTAAAGAACGGAAATAACCCTCATTAATTTTTAAACCTTTTACCTCAGTAATTGCTTATGCATGAAATAATTCTTGTTTTTGTTTTCAAGGCTGTTTTTGGAAAGAAGAAACATGGAAAGTGGTGCAGTTCTGCTGGAATCCAAATCCTCACCAGTTAACCTTCTGCATGAAATGCATCAACTACGCCTTCTGGGCCACCTGTGTGACGTCACTGTGAGCGTGGAGTACCAGGGTGTCCGAGAAGAATTCATGGCCCATAAGGCGGTGCTGGCAGCCACCAGCAAATTTTTTAAGGAAATGTTCCTTAATGAGAAGACTATGGATGGTACTAGGACTGTCTACTTACATGAAGTGCAAGTGGTTGACTTTGCTTCATTTCTTGAGTTTGTCTACACCGCAAAGGTACAGGTGGAAGAAGATCGGGTGCAGCGAATGCTGGAAATGGCTGAGAAGCTAAAATGTTTGGACTTATCAGAAACTTGTTTTCAATTAAAGAAACAGATGTTAGAGTCAGTGCTTTTGGAGTTGCAGAGTTTCTCCGAGTCTCAGGAGGTGGAAGGGAGCAGTGGCTCCCAAGGCAGTGTTACTTCTGACACTGGGGCAAGTGTGGCCGTGGACAGTCCTTTCACCAATGGCCTTGTGGCCTCCTTAGCTCCTCCAGTGCAGAGAATCAGCAACGGTACGTTGCCAGATCTGTCCCCAAAGAAGTCCAAAGAAAAACCAGACAAGAAGAAAGATGGAGTTAAGCCTTCCTACCCCAAAGTCAGAAGAGCTAGTGGAAGGCTGGCTGGCAGAAAGGTATTTGTGGAAATTCCTAAAAAGAAATACACAAGAAGACTCCGAGAGCAGCAGAAAAGTGCTGAGGATGATGTGGGGGACTACGGGTGTACCCAAGACCCCAGCCCAGACACTGTGGGGATCGAGGATGAGCCAGTGACAAAAAGTGAGGATTTCAGTGCTGGAGTGGAGGTCGGGGAGGTGCTGCAGAAGGCAGGGCAGGTGGGTGAAGAAGAGGAGGAGGAGGAAGGGGAGGAGGGGGAGGAGGAGGAGAAGAGGAAGAGCAACTTTAAGTGTACCATCTGCGAAAAGGCCTTTCTGTATGAGAAGAGCTTCCTGAAGCATATCAGGCACCATCACGGTGTGGCCACGGAGGTGATTCACCGCTGTGACACCTGTGGCCAGACCTTCGCCAACCGCTGCAACCTGAAGAGCCACCAGCGCCACGTCCACAGCAGTGAGCGCCACTTCCCATGTGAGCTCTGCGGGAAGAAATTCAAGAGGAAGAAGGACGTCAAGCGGCACGTGGTGCAGGTTCACGAGGGGGGTGGCGAGCGGCACCAGTGCCAGCAGTGCGGCAAGGGCCTGAGCTCCAAGACGGCCCTGCGGCTCCACGAGCGGACACACACCGGCCACAAGCCCTACGGCTGCACCGAGTGTGAGGCCAAGTTCTCACAGCCCTCGGCACTGAAGACCCACATGAGGTACGTGGACCTGGCTCCAGCTGCCTGGTGTGGGAAAGCAGAAACCCTCTCAAAATGTTTTTTCCGGAATGTGGCTTAATTTTCTTAAAATGCGTGTCAGAAATTGAAGTAGTTCTAGGATTTGGACCAGTGTGGCTACATTTCATTTCATAACTTGTTCCCTCTAGAGGTTTGGGGGCTGTTTTGAGATATCATTGAATTCTTTCTGGGTTGAGATGTTAGGAGGTGGTCTTGTTCTACAACAGAAATCCCCTAGTGTTCCTATAGGCCTTGGGCTGATGAGGACCTCCCAGCTCCTCCTGTCTGTGGTCACAGTGCAGAAGAGGACCCAGAACCAGGGTGGCCGACAGCTGCTGAACATGCCAGGTCCTGCAGATCTTGGCTGGCATGTACTGGAGGCCAGGGCTCTCCCACTCCCAGAGGCACACTTCCCACCACACCTGATGCTAATAACCTGTATTTTTCTTTTCTTGACTTATTTAGAATTTCGGCTTGTGACCATCCTGGTCCCACAGTCTCAGTAATGACCTCAGGGAGATGACATTTTTAGGGCTTCAGGACACTTCTCTGATCATGTTTGGTCTCCGGGCTTGGAAACTGTGCCACTGGTTAGTCTAAACTCCAGAATTAGGATGGACAGTGTTTTCTGCTTAACTTTTGTACTGTAGGTGATACTATTTTTAAATAAATTTCCTTATGGTGCTCAGTATTTATGCTTCCAATCCAGATAAGCAGTTTTCTACCCTATTCTAGATCTGCCCTCAAACTTCGGCTGGTCTGTGGGGAAGTAGTTTGGTGTTCATCTTTTTACTGTATATAACAAGTTTAAAAACCTGGCTTATTAGGAAGTGCTCAGTAAATTGTGGTTGATAGCTACTTCATACCATTTGTGAAATTAAAATGAATATGCATTTTTGGAACCAGGTTTCTTCAGCATTTTGAGAACAGTTCTTTCTAGACTGGTTATGTTACACATACTAGGAAATGATAGTTAATTTTTTGGCTATGTGGTTCTTCATAGCAATAGTTCCTATGGTGTTTGTGGTTGATTATTCTGAATAAGGAAACTTTAGAGATATTACACAATGCTCTGTAGTGTTTTTAAAAATATGTAAAGGCACGGTCTCTGGATGGGCTGTACAACATAAACCCCAAGACAGGTGTGGGTGGACATTCGGTGTCTTACTGGGCAGCGCATCGCAGTTAGCTGGCCTTGTGTGGACGCAGATTTGAGGAAGAAGATTATGGGTCTCTTCACCTTTCACTCCAATCATTCTCATCAGGTCTCCTTGAACAAAGTATCTTTCAGGTTAGTGTGGAAATTGTATTGCAAAGCGAGGTTTGAGATACATCCTAAGTTATCATCTGAATGTTGTACTTTCAGAATTCATACAGGGGAAAAACCTTTTGTCTGTGATGAATGTGGTGCAAGATTCACTCAGAACCACATGCTGATTTATCATAAAAGGTGTCACACAGGTAAATACTCCTGCTGTTGTGATTGAATGTCTTGCCTAGCTGTAGAAGGAAACTGCAGTTTATTAATTTAGAAGTTGGCATCTACCAAACTAGTACAGGTTAAAGCCAGGAATTAGCTTTCCCATTTAAAAAGTGAGCAAAAACAAATAAATAAAATATGCTTTGGTGATGGCCTTTTGCATACTGGTACTTCGCAGTAGGAACTGGCATGTGCGACTTAGGTATCAAAAAGGTATGAAATAGTTCCTGCTGCCTTAGCTCCAAATTCTATTTTCAGGAGTCTGTCCTAAAGAGATTGTTCAGCATATGGGAAAAGCTCTATTTTCCTTCTTGCTATTTCTAATAAGAAAGCATTAGAAACAACCTGATTGTCCAGTCACAGTAGTTTAGTAAATTAAAAACTCTACGCTCACCCACTGGCCATTTGGGCTGAGGGCTCTGAATATTATGAAAAACACCTGTACTTGCATATTGACTTGAAAAGTACACAGTGAATCCCAACTATATTGAACTCCTGTACAGAAGACTAGAAAATAGCTATATGATGTATTAAGGTGGTGGAATGATCTTATTTCCAGTTCCTAAAATTTTGTGATAGGATTTTATTATGTGAGGGACAAAATTTAAATTGGCTTTATTCTGATTCAGCATAGTAACCCTGAGATTCAGAAAACTGTTTATGACACAAAGTATACAGAACCTGCTCTATACTGTAGTTATCATGCTCAGTTCCTTATTTGTATTTCTAAATTTTTACTTCTAAACTCTGTCATATGATCCTTAAGTTCAAATGCAAGTGAGACAGACATGAGTCATTTAATGATATGAATTACTAGATTGTAAAATGTAAGCAGCAGAATTGGTGTTGAATGGATGGTTAGGAGTAGAGATGAAGTCAGGTTACATTGAAGGATTTAGAATCAATCATTTGATGAAAATATTAATATATTCAGATTTTATTAAACCCAGTATTGTTATTTTGATGTTTGTGAAATCAGGGGTACACCTGATCAGATGAATCTGATTTGTAGAATCAAAGGATTCAAACTACACAATAAAAGAGGGACTTTTATTCTGTAAAAGATCAATAGCAGTGCTTCTTTGAGAAAAAAATCTTAATTTCTCCAAACAAGTTGTATAAATTTCTAAAATGTGAGCTGGCTGGCCTATCTCTTATTTCTTCTTTGGGATTTTACACCAACTTTCAGCAGGTAGTAAGCATCTTACATGGCTAGACATTTTATGACAGCAGGCTGCCTGCGCTTTTGGAATTCATATGGATTTTAGAGATTGGACCCACTCTTCCTGTATGTTTCTGTGTCTGTTATTTCTAACTTTTTGTTTCATCTTTTCATGTAGGTGAAAGACCTTTTATGTGTGAAACATGTGGCAAGAGTTTTGCTTCTAAGGAGTATTTAAAACATCACAATAGAATCCATACTGGATCCAAACCCTTTAAATGTGAAGTTTGTTTCAGGACTTTTGCCCAACGGAATTCACTTTACCAGCATATTAAAGTCCACACAGGTATGGCTGGAACGTCACTGGAGAAGGGAGTTCAGTGTGCCAAGAAAAAATATCCCAAAGGTTTTTAACTTACTGGAGAACTTGGAATTTAGCTTTAGGATAAACTTTTGTGTGTCATAATAGCATTTTTAAATTTTTGAATTTTTAGTTTCTGGCTCTGAGAAACTGAAAAGGTATGGATATGTGAACATTTTGCCACTTTCAGATTAAAATCAGGGATAATCTATACATATCAGTGTATATATACATGCATACAAATTCAGTTGTGGGACTTGGGAATTTTATATTCCGCTAGAGGCCCGATGCACGAAATCCATGCAAGAGTAGGCCTTCCTTCCCCCAGCTGCCAGCACCGGCTTCCCTCTGGCACCTGGGACCTGGGCTTCCTTTTGGCTGGCCGCCGGCAGGCACTCAGGACCCAGGCTTCCCTTGCAGCCCCAGCTTTCGTCCGGAAGGTCGTCCGGTCTAATTAGCATATTATGCTTTTATTATTATAGATTACTATGGGAATAGGTAAAATTTCTATAGATAGAATATGAGCTACAAGTATGGATTTTGGCTGTTTTAGTGTAGGCCATACTCTTGGTATTACAGGTATCCCCCTTCCAAAAGTTCACATTAGGCCCCTTTGTTTTCACAAGAGACCTACATTCACTCCTGTTTTCACTAACCGGAAAAAGTGTGACATGAACTTTCAGAATGTGAGGGATACTCTTCATTTTATGCCGTTTTGGCTTACAAAAGGTTTCATGGGAACACGACTTTGGAAACCTGTGTAGAGGTGGTTTGTACCTGTCAGTTGACCCTCCACTGATCATCCTTATGGTGGAATGCTGACACTTCCTAGTGGTATACAAACAGCATTACTCCACATTTTATTCAAAATTATATACACCAGGCTAAAGAGATCAACCAGTTTTCCTCTCTTCCCGTCTCAGGCGAACGTCCCTATTGTTGTGACCAGTGTGGTAAGCAGTTCACCCAGCTCAACGCTCTCCAGCGTCACCATCGGATCCACACGGGAGAGAAGCCGTTCATGTGTAACGCATGTGGAAGGACATTTACTGACAAGTCCACTCTCCGGAGGCACACCTCAGTAAGCAACAGTGTGGCTTAAGAATGACAAATTGCTGGTCCCTAGGTATGCAAAACCCTAGACAGTAAGAAATGCCTGGTGTTCCATAAGCTGGTTATAGAAGACAGACAACAGGTATTTTCTTCCTGAAGTTTTGTCTGCAGTGAGCACATTCATAGTGTGAATGAAGTAAAGAACTAAATCTTGAGGTCCAGGAAGGCACAATCCATGGTAAACACGTTCTAACAGTGACAGCAGTGGCAGAAAGATACTTGGCAATTAGTAAAGACATTGCTGCCGTAGAAACTTAAATTGAAGAGAGACTATTGTTTTAACAGATGTATTTAATAAGTAAGTAGAATTGGATGATTTACAGATATTTGTTCAGACACATTTGGTGACTTTTGTGTTTGATTTGTAGGTTCATGACAAGAATACACCATGGAAGTCCTTCCTTGTTATTGTAGATGGCTCACCCAAGAATGATGAAGGGCATAAGACTGAACAGCCTGATGAAGAATATGCATCATCCAAACTTTCAGATAAATTGCTGTCTTTTGCTGAAAATAACCATTTTCACAACCTGGCCACAGTCCCAGGCAGCGTATCTACTGTGCATGAGAATAGTTCTGCCAACACAGCCTGCAAGTCGGACAATTCTGTGGTATCCCAGGATGCTCTGCTGGCCACCACCATCAGTGAGCTTAGTGAGCTGACACCACAGACAGACTTGATGCCCACACAACTTCACTCACTGACCAGCATGGAGTGAGCTTGAAGTGACCCGCCAAGCAGGCCCCATCCTGCATCTCGTGTGACAGTGTGTGCAAGGTGATGTATCAGGAGCCAAGATAAAGAACCGTCCGTAGGCAAAGAAGTGGGCATTCAAGAATGGCTTCTCATTTTCCACAATTTCTGATAACTTGCACGCTTTTATCAAAGCATTTTTGAAGCTTCCCCTTAAAAATCCTGATCTGCACGACCTCAGCTACACTTTATCAACACATAAGGCAGTTAACATAATCTCACTTAATTCTGGTGTAGGCTGTTATAGGCATTCATCATTCTAATGCTTGATTGTCTTGATGTTTATGAAGCTTAACTATTTACCTTAATAGAGTACACAGCATTGATCCAGCTCATGAAATTGCTTTTAATGGTCTCCCTAGTCTCTCAGCCTGCCTTATATTTCCATGTGGGTGTATTTCTCTGATACTTTAAAGATAGTTTTCTACCAACTGAAATAAAACTGGGGCCATATATTTTTAATTGTTTCTTTCCTGCCGAATTGAAGCAAATCAGATTTGCTCTAAGTACCCTTGAACTGAAGAGATGAATTACTGCATTCACCCCTTTCTACTCCCCCAGCCCCGCACTAAATAAAGGAATGACAAATTGAACACCTGCAAAATAGTTTAGTATAGCCTCTACTCACAGCATATGTGCAGCTAGGAAATTTGTCATAAAGTAGCTTTTGAAATGAAATGTGGCTGTTCATTTTCATTCCTAAAAATCTGATAAGGTAAAAGCTGTCCTACCAAAGATTTTAGGAGCAAACTAGTATTTTCTTTTTCTTTTTGCAGAGGTACGAAAAATTAAGCAAGAGGCTTTAGAACACTTGAAACTTATGTAGTCATTTTACTGACGAGTAGCAATGAGGTGATTGTGGCTAATCTTAGAGCACAGAGTATTAGTATTTCTGCCTGTTTTTTCTGATTTAATTTTCAAGATTTTCAGAAAATCAGAACTTTCTCATTGCCAAATCAAGAGCTAGAAACAGGCAGGTAAATGTCACACCTTTGTTTCCTCGGGAGTATGCGAGAATATAGCAGAAGGGACCAAAAGCCTTGGCACACATCATTGATTATGCCTTAAGAGTAGATTGTGAAGAACCAATACTTGTCTTAAATGCTCCTTCGGCTGTCTCATGCTGGACTTTACAATGAAAAGATAATTCTGCTGTATTTGCTAAGTTTGATTCTTGGTTCCAGTGGCTTTTGTATGTAGCCGTGACTCATATGTAACCCTAAACTTAATTTAAACAACCTTAAAGTCTTTTGTTTACCAATTTTTCTACATTTTAATTTATTGACTTGCTGTGAAACACTTTAATTTTTGAGAAAAGTTCTAAGAGAAAGAACTTATCCATAAGTTCCAGGATGAACACAGCTGTACTATGCCAGGAACTAATGAGAGACTTTCTTCCTATGTGCTTATTTTCTAGTTTGTGACATGTTACATACTAAAGCCACTATAAGTTGTTTAGGTGCTGATAACACAGCAGTACTTAACTACTTCAAATACAGTTATGACAACATATCCTAGTTGTGTTTACAGAACAACAGTAACAAAAAACTGTCATACAACCATTTTATTCTTGGTAAGAGAATGAATTGGCCAACTGATGTACTGTTTCATGGAGTAAAGTCATTTTAATGAGAAGGAATTTAAATAATAGATTATTTTGCTACCTACTAGAATTTTTGTCTTGGTTTCTTTAGAAATTCTACAAAAAAAATCGTTTACTGTGTTAATAAACGTTTGCTTTGTAAAATAGTTTTGCAAGTCTGAAGTTTTTCCCCCATTATTAAAATGTAGGCTCTGTAAATAGAAAGAAGTATAATTTCCTTAATGTCATGGATAATGAAGTTTAAAATCAAGGTTATAGTCTTAGGAGTAATCTCTTTAGTTATAACCATGTGGACTGCACATTAATTCTCTAGGAATAAAAGGCCTGGTGGTAAGTAACACTACCCTCTGCTTATGTAGAAGTAACCTGTGCAGCTGGCACTGTGGAGTGTGTAAATGGACTGGTTTCTTCAATGTCATGTTTAAGTTGCATCATGGACACTTCAGTATATGTACTTCTTTGTCTGCTTCCCAGGAGGGTAAAGCTGCATCTGAGAACAGAACTCTGAAAACTGGAAGACTCATCATTGAGGGTTTGTGGGAATCTACCCCTATTTCTCTTAATCCAAGTACAGCCTCCCGGAGTGAAGCAAGCTACTGCCTCACCATGTCAGTCCTAACGCCACGGTTAGGAAGTGCCCTTGGTGTTGGCACTGCTTCTCCTAGAGCCGTGGTTGGCAAACCGCAGCTCGCGAGCCACATGCGGCTCTTTGGCCCCTTAGTGTGGCTCTTCCACAAAATACCACGTGCTGGCGCGCACGTACAGTGCGATTGAAACTTCGTGGCCCATGCGCAGAAGTCGGTAATTTTGTGGAAGAGCCACACTCAAGGGGCCAACGAGCCGCGGTTTGCCGAGCCGCAGTTTGCCGACCACTCTCCGAGCATCAGGCAGGCAATTGTGAGGTGATTTAGTGCCTTCCAACCATGGTGTGGGAAATAATCTCTGCCCGAACTCCAAAGACCTCTACTGCCTTTGGTTTTACCAAAACTTTTATGTTACAATTTGGGAAAAAATAGGTCATGTGGTGGGAGAAGACCTTTGTTAAAGGTAACTTTAAACTAACCCTAACTGGTTTGGCTCAGTGGATAGAGCGTCAGCCTGTGGACTGAAAGGTCCCAGGTTCGATTCCAGTCAAGGGCATGTACCTTGGTTGTGGGCACATCCCCAGTAGGGGGTGTGCAGGATGCAGCTGATCAATGTTTCTCTCTCATCGATGTTTCTAACTTCTATCCCTCTCCCTTCCTCTCTGTAAAAAAATCAATAAAATATTTTTTTTTTAAAAAAGGTAACTTTAAGAGAAATGTGGTTTTGCTATCGATAATCCAAACCAACAAATTTGAGTATGGATTATAATTTAATCCTAACCTGTTAAATTTTATACCTTGCACCCAGGGACATTTTTTGAGATAAAATGAGTGATTGTCCCTTTAATTAAACTTGACAGTGTGAAACTTGAAGTAACCATATTATTTCAGTGGCGGGAGGACACTTGTGTGAAGGACCATTTGTTCACATGTTACTATTATCTAGATGGGGGCAGTATGACTGAGCAAGCTTCAAAGACAGGTCAGAGGACCAAATAGCATGTCACCTAGCCAAGCCCCAGAAACCACACACTTACCTTTGCCAATTTTACAGGGACTCTTACCAAGGCTGGCAAAACCAGGTTTTTAAACCATCACTGTGGCTTCTTTCTGTTAGGAAATAATGACTGTGAGATAAACTAACCTTGAATGATCAACAGCTTCTCAGGATTCCTAAGATGGCCTGTTATACCATTCTTTTTTCAAAATTTAGTTTGAATTATCTTTAAGTTGTAAATATACTCACAGACTATAACACTGCTCTTTGATGGGATGAGCTGACCCACAGTTCCCCACATGGCACCCTCTTCCTCCATAGAACTTGTGGCCTGAGTGGCCAGGGGGGTTCAACCTTCCCCAGGGGCATGTGCTGACCCTGTACAGGTATCTGCAAAGGTAAATAAATGCCCACACTGCCAACAGAGTTGAGGGGCTTCATGGTTCCTTCATCCCCACCCCCACCTAGCAGTTTTCTGTGAACCAATCCTCAACTTTGCAAGTGACTGTAGCCCAACACTCCTTAATAGGGCAGCTAAACGGGATGAGAATGGGAGGCGTAGAGTCACTGCAAACTTTGCGGATTATATCAACACACTAAAGCCAGGGCTTCTTTTGTAAACCCCCAGCTTCCAAAACCATTACAGTGCCCTGAATTCCCACCAAGTAATAGAGATTTTAACATAGTCAAACTTATATTTCAATGCATAGACAAAGAACCTAGAGAATAATGCTCACTGTCTTCAACTTATAGGAACAACTTCAAGAAAAGGAAGCTACTTGTGACTTGTGTAGCTTTAGGTAGTAGGAAAGACCTGTCAAAAATATTACTCATAATTTCCACTTTATTTACTGTACAAGTTCACACAAAACATACATACTCTTTTCTGCTAAGGTAGATTTATGGTTAGTTTCCATAATACAATACTCCACCGGAGAGCATGGGAAAGAACACCGTGACCGGCTCAACTTCGCAGGCAGGACCCCGCACGCACGGCCCTGGAGGTGGGTCACGGGCAGCATGCTGTGCTGCCAAACCCTCCAAAGGAAGCCACAGGTTTGCATTTGAATATTTTAAACGCACAGTATCAGAGGAAACAATAAATGCACACACTTTGATTATAGTGACATCATCACACACAGTCAACTGCAAAAATACTGTTTTTAAGTCATTAAATAAAAAAGGAACTCGCAGAAGCTATAAAAATGTTGCCACCACTGATTTTGACTATGAACTAAACCCCGATTTGCTAAAATACAAGAACTATAACATAACAGTCGTTACATTTTGTTCATAAATAACATTCTCTAGATCCTGAGAACATACCTTGGGCCTCTGTGTCACGGCACTACCCTACATTCAACAATGGAGCATTTCAAGGAAGGAAGGAAGGAAGTTTGGATATTGTTAATGGGATTTTCTCCCTCTCCTTTTCCTTTCACCTAGCAAGTCTGTTCTAGTCATCAGTTACTTTTACTCTTTCGTGTGAAATATTTGAAAATTCTTAACTTAGGCACTGATATCCTTGTTTATTTCAAAACAGCAAGTCCCTGACTGACATCACAAAATGTTACCAATATAATTTTTTAAAAACCATACCTCTTGTTCAGGTGCGTTTGTTAAGGAATCACGATAAAGCTAAATGGAACTGCCTTAAAACAAAAGCATTTAGTTTTTACTTTTAAGTGGTCAGACCAGAAGGCTCTTTTAAAGAGTGGAAACACACTTTCTAAACTAGTGATGGAAGAAGCATGTTGACCGGCTGGGATTTACATGCTCTTCAGATGGGCAGACCTATGGCCAGAGGACATGGGCTGCAAAAGCACTCCCCACGCCTCACTTTCACAAAAGTGCATTTGGAAAAAAGCTTGTTACAAAAGCACAGTTGGATGGTTATGGAATATATTAGATAAAGCAACAAAACCCCACTTTTCTATAATATTTTCATAAGAGAGTCCAACAGGAAATAAAGTACCAAACAAGCTCCATTCCAAATTTGTACTGTAATAGCCAGCTTTCTTTTAAGAATCCCTGACTTTTAAGGAAAAAAATAAATCCTTATCAGATTCCAGCACCCAATGCCAGAGTGCCCGTGTCTTCTGGTCCATTCCCTCTGCCTCAGATGATAGTATGACGCCTTCCTCTCCATCAGCCCACCCTGCACACATCACTCTGCAGGTACAGCCAGGGAATCCTCAGCCACCTGAGAAACAGCCTCCCAGCTGGGCCTTGGCTGCCCTTTTCTTTTTCTGCTACTTTCTCCTTCACCCCAGGTTAACCCATTCACCATCCCCAAACCTTCTTCCTCACTGAGCTCTTTGTCTGGGCACATTCTACTTCTATCCAACAAAGCCTATTAATTCCAGTTGAGGGCCACCCAAAAATGAAAACATCATTTAAATACTAGTTACTATCTAACATAATATGGGAAATTTCATTACCTGTCATTAATGAGAGCAGCACAAGTCAGGAAAAAAAACAGGCTATATATGGCAACAAATGCACATCAAACATAAATCATTTAAGCCTAAAACTATGCACAGAGGAGCTCTGGACAGTTTCCCTCAGTGGTTAGAGCGCACCAAAGGGTCATGGGTTTGATTCCTGATCTAGAGCACACACCTGGGTATCAGGTTTGATCCCGTGCCCTGGTTGTGTCACGTGTAGGAGGCAACCAATTGATGTGTCTTTCTCACATCAATGTTTCTCTCTCCCGCGCCCCCCCCCCCCCCCATTCACTCTCTCTAAAAAAATCAATGGGAAAAAATATCCTTGGGTGAGAATTAATAAGAAAAAATATGTACAGAGGAGATTCAAAAAACAAGATCACGTCTAAGTACAATGTCAGCATGTAACATAATGGGTAGGGGTCAAGTTCGTAAATTAATAGAGCACTTATGTAAAATAAAAGGATAGAATTTAAAGTTCAAATACAAAAGCTAAAACAATCCCATCAGCTAAGAAGAAAATACAGTCTCCTGAAAAGCTAGTTGGAGGCATATAGTAAGCCTCTGTACCATATATACCCTACCTAACCCATCATGGTCAATAAATGGATAAAATTACTGAAACCCCTTTTCACTCTTTGACTTATAATCTCTGGGCCCCAGTGAGGATGTGCATGACTGTGGCATAAAGGAAGGCATCTCAATGTGGGAAAGAGTATGACCATGAAAATAAAGAGAAAGGGGTATGCCAGTTACACCACCTTTATGCGAATATAAGGAATGGGATTTCCCCGCCAACTAAAAGTGGAACCAGGTCTAGGAAAAGGAAAATTTCCATTTCTCATAGATCTTATATATTTGTGTGTGTGTAAATACAAAGCAGTCAAACCCACCTTGACATACATCCACACACATAAGCAAGTTTAAGTGACGCAGGCAGGCCTGTGTTCCGAATTTTCACATGCATGTTAGCATAGGGAACAATGTCAAAAGCAGAAACTGGTCATTAGTATCATCAAAAAATCACAAGATAACAACAACAAATTTATAATAAAGAAAGTCATCAACTGATTCCTAACAACCACCCTAAACTAAATACATACACTTAGAGAATACATCCAGATGCAAATTTACAGAGAGTATGCAAAGCAGCGATTAGAGCAAATTGGGTTAGATACTCAAGTCCAAGAAAAAGGACAGAATATGTGGCAAAACTAAACATGACTCTGCAAATATCAAACAAGAATAAAATTCTGAAGTAGTACTCGGAAAACTCTGGGGACTCTGGCAAGCATGAAATAGCCCATCACGCCCACAATATGCACAGGAGATTCTTTTATCCATTTGCTTAACAGTGATATAAACACAGAAACACACACGCATTGTTTGGTTCATGTGCAACAAAACTAAGCCGTTAAATGGGCATCCCATAAAGATCACTTGGCCCTAAGAGGAACTAAAAAGGAGTTAGCTGCATGCCACAAAGACGTATAAATGTTTCACTTTAGGTCTCCGTCTCCTTCTCCATCCCCTTGGATGGACTTTTTGATACGAAGCAACATGGTAGTAAGCCACTGATCCAAGCGAGATATTGAGTCAAATTCCTTCACCTAGTTTAAGGTTAAAGGAACAGGAATTAATCTATGGAAATGCAACTGAAATAAAGCAGCTGTTTAAACTTAAATAGTGATAATCAACCAACTTTCTTCATTTAAAATTATTCATTCCAGTTCATAACAGTCATTAAAAATTTTTTATTTTTTCATTATTCTCTGCCTATTTTGATGGAGCTATTAACAAGTTTCTCTGCCTTTTATATTGCTCTGTATATAACATCTGATGACAAAAATCCCTAACAGCCTTTATAATTGGAAGAAGATCACAATTAATATAACAAAGGAAATTAGACCGTGCATAAGACTTAGAAGGGAACATGGAAAATTAAGTGTTCCAATATTCACTGAACAAGAAAAAAGGTATTTGCAGAGACAGGATGTATGGAAGCAGGATTCCTTTAACTCACTGCAACACATTAATAAAGAATAAGACTTCAATAGAATGTAAATGGTTTTGCAGCAAAAGTTAAATGGGAAAACATTCCTTCCCACCACTGCTTCAAAGCCATGATAAATATAGTAATGGCATAAGATGCCAAAAGATGGGAAAACAGAAGATAGATGAATATAAAGAAAAAATCTTCCATTTATGTTATGCCAGGAATATAGCAAACTCTCACTGCTTTGTTTTTATATTTTAAATTGTACTGAACTGATTTTACTTTACACTTATTTCTGGAGCATATTATTTTCAAAAGAAAACATTCAAACAGCAAATTATAACAGTATATGATTTTTTTTCTTGAATTTGCCTTATAGTTAAATTCACCATGGCTAATGAAACCATATAACTGTATAGGTTTGTGGGATATAAAAAAACATGATCTTTGGAAAATACAATTGGGTATACTGGAATAATGTTCAAATAAATATTTACAATGAAAAGAAGAAAAAGATCCTGTAATAAACCTTTTAAGTATGTATTATATTTCAAGGACATAACTTACTGCTTCAGTGTAAGCTTCACTGTTCTGTTCTTCATGAGCTTCTAGAAGTTTCTAGTAACATAAATATGGAAAAATTAGATTGGTAGGCTAAAAAAGTTCCATCTGTGAATAGAGATACTTTAAATACAGAAGTAGCCTCAGTATCACATTAACTGATGTTGCTAAATACTTTATAAAATTGGAGAAATATTCAAGTACAAATAAAGAATTACCCCAAGCCCTGGGTCCAGTATTTGAGCTAACATTTCTGAATTGCCTGCTTTGGAACACAACACTCTATCCCTGACTCTCAGTGGCATTTGAAACCTAATATGCAAAAGTAGGAAAGGCTCTTCCGCAGATTTATCCTTCACTTCACACCCAGTTCCACCTGACAGCAAAACCTTTTTCTTTAAAGTCCTAATATTACTTACTTTCAATAATTTACATTCTCTTGAATCAGTAAATGCTGGAAACATTTCCTCATATTTCTCAAGAGCCAGCTGAGAGAGAAAAAACACTTGTTAATGTCTGACTCACTAAACCAGGAAACACAGCTTTGAACATTCTTATTTTTTAAATATATTTTTATTGATTTCAGAGAGGAAGGGAGAGGGAGAGACAGAAACATCAATAATGAGAGAGACTCGCTGATTGGCTGCCTCCTGCACGCCCCCTACTGGGGATCGAGCCTGCAACCCCAAGCAGATGCCCTTGACTGGAATCAAACCTGGGACCCTTTGGTCCGTAGTCTGACGCTCTATCCACTGAGCCAAACCAGCTGGGGCTGAACATTCTATTCGCTTAAGTAAGACTCATCTACATCCTATTTAATTGTATAAGTATGTGTTAAATTCATCAAAATCAACACAGGACTCCATTCTATTCTGATTTTCAATTTCAGTTAAGAATCTAGTTCTAAAACAATTTTCCAGAATTAGGTTGCTGTAGAGAAGATGTTGTAAACCAAATCTAATTCTTAAAACTCATAAACAGGTGTCTTTTTTTTTTAAGGTACCCAGTTTAGTCTTGCAACTAACGAATATCACCCAAACCAAATGATATAAAGAACAACAGAGTACCTGAGTGAGGCCCGCTCTCATGGGCAATGTGCATCAGAAAACTAGTACTAAGGACTGACCATACCTTGGCATTCAACTCATCGACTATGAAGTGACAGAGGGCTGCTTTAAAGAAGTAATCCTTTGCACTGTACTTCAACAGAGGATTATCCATGGTGTTTGCCCCAACCTAGGCACAGAAAGCAGAGTTAGATATAAAAGGTTTGTGGTGTTTTTTTAAAGATTGAATTTATTGGGGTGACACTGGTTAATAAAACCATACAGGTTTCAAGTGTACAACTCAATAAGACATCATCTGCATAGCACACCATGCACTCACCACCCAAAGTCAAGTCTGTTTCTGCTGTTTGTCCCCCTTTGTCCACTTTCTCCTCCCCACACCCTCCTTTTTATCTGGCTATCACTACATTGTTGTCCATGTCTATGTGTCATACATAATATATTATTTTTTAAAAAGTTTTGGCTTCTTACATTAGGCAAACTGATTATCATCTATTGCCTTTAGAAAATAATTCTGTGTTAGTTTAGCTATGAAATACATTTTTAATCCAATATTATAACTAGAAAATTTTACTAGAAGAAATAATATTTAACACATACAGTGCTAACCACTTAAAAATGAACTCAGAAGACTTTGACCTGTAGGAAGATGGAACAGACATCCTTTCCTCTATTCCTCCTAAGTACGACTAAAAGCCCCAGTCATTTTATATGAAACAGATGTAAAACTGAAAGGCGAAGAGAGAACAGAAGAATGATAGGGACCTTGAGACACAATGGAAAACATGACAGTGAATTTCCTGGGTTTCCTTTTTCTTTCACATATTCCTGACTTTTTATAGAAAAAGCTGGCATAAAAGTCTTTGGATACAAAAAAAAAAAAAAAACAAAACAAAAAACCTAGACAAAAGTTTGCTGTCTCTAGCCAAAGGACTACGGAAGGGGCAGCCTAGCATAGTAAGACAGAAAATGTTTAGACAATAACTGCTCTATTCTAGCAAAATACCACAAGAAAACTGTGGCCTGAGAACCAAGATGGCGGCATAGGTTAACGCCGGAGTTTGCTGCTTTGAACAACTACTTCAAAAGTGAAACCAAAAAACGGAAGGGACATCACCCAGAACCACAGGAACGCTGGCTGAGTGGAAGTCCTACAACTAGGAGGAAAGAGAAACGCATACGGACACTCAGAGGAGGCGCAGTGCTGAAGTCAAATTCTGAGGTGCGGAGTGCGCGGAGCGGGCTGGCGGCGGAGGGCGCGGTTGGCGTTTTCAATCGGGAGGGAGTCGCGGACTCTGAGCTCCAGATCCGGGCGAGTCTCTAGGGACCCAGACTCAAACGGGAGAAGCGGGACTGTCTGGCTTCGGTCAGAGCGAGTGCAGCTTTCTCTCTGAGCTTTGCAGTGGGTGCTGGGACTCAGAGAGGCAGAGCCCCTGGGGACAGGACTGAGAGCCGCCATAACTGCTCTCTCCAGCCCACCCTGTTGATCCTGTGCGACCCGCCCCGCCCAAGCCCTGCACAGAGGCTTTTGCCGGATAGCCTCAGGCAAAGGCTAGATTAGCACCTCCCTAGAGGACAGAAGTTCTCTCACTGCTGACACAGCTGATTCTCATAGCCACCTGGCCTGGAGGTCAAACCCTCCCTGGTATTAGCTACAACAATCAAGATTTAACTATAAGACTGCACACAAAGACCACTAGGGGGTGCACCAAGGAAGCATAACAAAATGCGGAGACAAAGAAACAGGACAAAATTGTCAATGGAAGATATAGAGTTCAGAACCACACTTTTAAGGTCTCTCAAGAACTGTTTAGAAGCCGCCGATAAACTTAATGAGATCTACAAGAAAACTAATAAGACCCTCGATCTTATATTGGGGAATCAACTAGAAATTAAGCATACACGGACTGAAATAACGAATATTATACAGACTCCCGACAGCAGACCAGAGGAGCGCAAGAATCAAGTCAATGATTTGAAATGCGAGGAAGCAAAAAACACCCAACCGGAAAAGCAAAATGAAAAAAGAATCCAAAAATGCGAGCATAGTATAAGGAGCCTGTGGGACAGCTTCAAGACTACCAACATCAGAATTATAGGGGTGCCAGAAGATGAGAGAGAGCAAGATATTGAAAACCTATTTGAAGAAATAATGACAGAAAACTTCCCCCACCTGGTGAAAGAAATGGACTTACAGGTCCAAGAAGCGCGGAGAACCCCAAACAAAAGGAATCCAAAGAGGACCACACCAAGACACATCATCATTAAAATGCCAAGAGCAAAAGATAAAGAGAGAATCTTAAAAACAGCAAGAGAAAGAAACTCAGTTACCTACAAGGGAATACCCATACGACTGTCAGCTGATTTCTCAACAGAAACTTTGCAGGCCAGAAGGGAGTGGCAAGAAATATTCAAAGTGATGAATACCAAGAACCTACAACCAAGATTACTTTATCCAGCAAAGCTATCATTCAGAATTGAAGGTCAGATAAAGAGCTTCACAGATAAGGAAAAGCTAAAGGAGTTCATCACCACCAAACCAGGATTATATGAAATGCTGAAAGGTATCCTTTAAGAAGAGGAAGAGGAAGAGGAAGAAAAAGGTAAAGATACAAATTATGAGCAACAAATATGCATCTATCAACAAGTGAATCTAAGAATCAAGTGAATAAATAATCTGATGAACAGAATGAACTGTTGATTATAATAGAATCAGGGACATAGAAAGGGAATGGACTGACTATTCCTGGGGGGGAAAGGGGTGTGGGAGATGCGGGAAGAGACTGGACAAAAATCGTGCACCTATGGATGAGGACAGTGGGTGGGGAGTGAGGGCGGAGGGTGGGGCGGGAACTGGGAGGAGGGGAGTTATGGGGGGGGGGAAAAGAGGAACAAATGTAATAATCTGAATAAAGATTTAATTAAAAAAAAAAAAAAAAAAAAAAAGAAAACTGTGGCCTTAACCTCACTCACATCATCAAAGGCCAAAGAGAAAATCAAGATGTCCATCCTTTCGAGACTGCAAAGAGGAGCCCAAAATTCCCAAGGTGACTTCAGAGAAGGCCAAGAAGGGAGCAGCCTTCATCCCCGCCAGCTAGTAACGAGCCCACCCTTTTCCCGGGCAGCTGAGGCAGTGCAGCCCACACAGGCAGCCTGGATTCCACCTCTGCCCAGCAGAACCAGGCATGCTCACCTCCCAGCAGGCATGGTTTCAGAAGAAGCCTAGTGGAGGGTTAAGACTTTCACCATCACTGGCAGTAACAAGGACAACCCCACCATGGAGATGGTGGACAGCAAGCAGGCGCTGGAAAGAAATGAGGGCCTGTCCCCAGATGTCAATGGAGGCCAAGTGGGAAACCTCCACCTGGCAGTAAAGGGCAACACACTCTTCCTCAGCCAGGGCAATGCCACAGAAAACCAGCTGGCAGAGAAGGTTTAAGTAACAGGGTTAGGTTAGGGTTAGGGTAAAAATGTGCAGTTTTCAATGGAAACTTACTCGCCATACAAAAAAAGGGAAAGATCTTAAAGCTGAATGAAAAAAGACAACCAACAGATGACAGTTCTTAGATGGCAGAAATGTCAGTATTATATAACAAAGGTTTTGAAAGAGCCCTCATAAAAATGCTTCAAAATAGTAACACAAAAACACTTGAAAGTACAACAAAACAAAAAAACAAAAAACAGAAAGCAAAATCAACATCAACAAAAAACAAAATTCACAACAAATCCCAGAAGACATAAAGAAGAACCAAATGGAAATCTCAGAACCGAAAAACACAAAACCACATAAAAAGGAGATGGGCTCAGCAGCAGAATAAATGGGACAGATGAAAGAATCAACAAATTGATGAAAGAACATTAGAAATTAGTCTCCACAACAGAGAGAAGACAAACTGAAAAACAAAAAACAAACAACAAAAAACAATAAACAAACCATCAGGGACCTACGCGACCATGAAATGAGGTCTAACATTGGGATCCTCTGAGACCTGGAAGGGGAGGAGAAAAAGAGAGCAGCTAAATATATACTATAAGAAATAATGACTAAAAATTTCCCAAATTTGGTAAGAAGCAAGAGCCTACAGATTCAAGAAGTTTAGCGAAACCCAAACAGGATAAAAGCAAAGCTATCTATGCCACACCACATTAACTTCTGAAAACTAAAAGTTAAAGAAAAAAATTTGAAAGCAGCCAGAGAAAAATAGCCTCTTATTTACAGGGGAAAATCAATGTGAATAATAGCCAACTTTTTACCAGAAACCACAATGGCCATAAGTGGCACTTTTTCAAGTACTAAAACAAAACAAAACAAAACATCAACCCAGAATTGTATACCCATGGAAAATATGCTTCAGGAAGGAAAAGAAAATCAAAACATTCCCAGATAAAGGAAAACAGAAATATATGTTGCCAACAGACCTACCCTAAAAGAATGGTAAAAGGATATTCTTTAAGCAGAAAGGAAACAATAAAAGACTGAATCTCAAAACATCAGGAAGGAAGCAAGAACACAGCAAACAAAATGTGGTGAATACAGAATCCCAGCAACAACACAGCACTGGTAACTCTTACTCAGCCAGCTCTGGGCAGTGAACTTCCACTGGACAGAGAGGCCCTGTAGCCTCAGAGGCCAACCCCAGAACACTGCCACCCAGAGGCTGACCCACAAACTGATTCTTTGCTAAACACAAAATAAGGCAGTATGGGAAACAAATGCGGCTTGCTTTAAAATAAGGACTGTGGTTTACAACACAGAGGAACAGTGTATCGCAGGGAAACTCAACACTCTCCTGAATACCTGGCAGGTCTAAGGCGAGCCACACTGAAGAATAGAAGAACCGAAGGACCTTCACTACTGCAATATTTTTTTTTTTCTTTTTTCACCTTTTAACTAAGAAACCAATTTTTTTTCTTTTTTTTTTCTTTTCTTCTTCTTCTTTTTTTTTTCTTCTTTTTTCCATCACCTGATTTTACCCTTTTAATTACTACCTTCTTATTTTTAACCAGTATTATTACTGCTACCATTTTACCATTTTTTTTTAAAGTGCCATTTTATTTTCTCTTTATTTTATTTTGGGATTAGTGTTCTCCATTCTATTTTCATCGTTATATTATTGGTTGTTTCTTTTTTTTTTTTTTTAAATGTATTTTATTGATTTTTTACAGAGA